TTACTGTAGGTTTTAGTCCTACTAGCAATAAATCTTTAACTGTCCATGAGAGAAAAGCAATTGAACAGAGCAGCCTCTGTGGTGACTTCCAACCAGTAGTAGACAATGGGGAATTTATGGAAGTCAATAATTAAAAGAGTTCTTTGTAAGGCTACTAGGAAAAAAGTTGTAGCTTTTGTTCGAATCTAGAATTCTACGAAGGATTACCAAATAGGTTTTCAGTCTGCCCACTTATTAAAGAATTTGATTATGCTAAAATGGATGATATTAGATTAGCTCTCAAGAATGTGATTGGAAGCTCCCTTGCTTTTTGAGGTAATTGCTTAATTGTTTCAGTGCAGGGCTAGAGTCAAGCTTTAGTCCTCAGTTTTCACTTTAGAAACCACAAATTGCTTAAAAAAAAATCTTAGTATACCTTGTACTTCACTACCTAGCAAAAGTGAATGTGTAATATGCAACTTTTGTATTATTCCAGAGGGAATAATTATCAGATCATTGAGATTAGTAGTTTATAGGTCAGCATTCCCTGGGCAAATTCAGCAATGATTTTAAAAAGTGTCAGATGATGGAAAAACTCTAAATGTTGAGTCTCTAAACAAAATATATTCCTCTTAAACCCAAGTTGAGTGGAGAAGAGATTAATGGATTTAGGGATACAGTACTACTATATTAAATTACTCACATTTATAATAAAAACAACTTGTGTTCTGCAATGAAAGATTTTATAGGCAGCAAAAGTGCCCAGTGGGACTAAACTAATAAGCAGTCCTAACTTAGCTGTCAAAACACAAGTGGGAGGAAACTTAACAGCTGTTCTTCTTTTTCCCATCTTCTTCCTCCTAAGAAATATCTCCTATTTTTTCTGACATGCAGTGAAATTATAATGCTGCCAATCAGAGATGATTCTAGGAAAAATTTTATCTTCTGGCATTGGCTCATATTTCTTAGTGTCTTCCACTTTTAAAATATAACATGTATCCAATTGACATTTGTTTAGCCATCTGCTGCTAAAGACAAATACAAATTTATGCAGTTTTTATTAAAATTATTTACCCAGTTAAAGCTTTTTATGCAGGAATCAAGAGTAGACTAGTGAATGGTCCCATAGAAACAAGTATTTTTAAATTACAATAAAATGATTGTTTTCACAAGAATTATATCTTTTAATCCTTAAAACAGGAATAGTAGCTAATATTATTGGAGGCCAACTGTTCACTGACAAGTCCAAAGACTTACATTATTTGAATTACAACCTTGAAAGTAAATGTGATCAAAATGGTCCTCCCAAATATGTCTACACCCAAGTATTCTAATCCCTACCAACAAGTAAAGCTGTTAATTTTCATTTCCTAATTTAATTAATGCATGATGGTTTTCCTTAAAATCAATAAACAGAGAACAAATAAAAACACTATTGAATATCTGACAAATGGTATGTGCTTAATAAGTCAGTCCTAGTTTTGAAATGGAGTTAATAAAAGTTGAACACCAAATCAAAGCAGAAGATGGGTTAGATCCCCAATAATCTTTTGCCAGTATTCTTGAGTAATGTCAAGCTCTCTAAATATTAGTATAAGTTCAGGTATAGCTTGACTTCAAATTATAAGCTTAGTTATGTGTTGCTAGAAAAAAAAGGATAAAATCTGGTACTGAGTGGAAAGTGGACCCAGAGATAACATTTTAATTGCCATTCACAGGTCACAGTGGCAACCGCTGAGAAATAGTTTAATCTTATTTTCATGTTAACATTTGACCTCAATGACTTGCCTTTTGTGCTACACCCAGACAGAAATGTCCAATAATGAAAAATGAGCATTTGTAATTGGCTCAGTATTCCCTTGAAAGAGATTATAAAAAGTTAAAGTGGGAGGTTCTACACCTTTCTCTCTCCTTTTTATTTTTGGCACATAAAATTTTTATTTTCAGTTAGTTCAAAAGGAAAGAAGTTACAAAAGCAAAAAGTGACTGCCTCTTGGTATTAGTTGCTTGAAGTATGATTTATGTTTAACCATTTTGTCTTGCATTTATAGGCACTTGGATGTAAGATCTCTTGATAGACCACTTCTGTACTGTTTCCTGCATAATTGGTACAAATACTTGTGTCACTGCTTTTGGAAAAAAAGCTAGAGGGTTTTTTAGTCCATCCCCAGAACTGTGCCTTGGAAAAAGAAGTTCCTAAATAAAGGCTTGAAGAATCTAGACTATTACGAACGCGAAACAATTATGAATAAATTTTTTTGTGCTCACACACAAAAAAGGCTGCTGACTTCATCTAACTTGAAAAGGAAGGCAGCCCACAAGCATTCCTCAGATGATAGTATTGGCTTCATTAAGCACTTAGTAGACATTCAACCCGTTGAGTGAAGAAAACGAGCGCGTAAGAATTCCAATCACTCAATAGGGCAGAAGTTTAGCCAAAGGTATATACGTAGACATTATACTGTTATAGGTGATTAGATGGTGAATGTTTATTTAAAAACTTCCACAGAGCCTGGTGCCAGCTCGGGGCTAGTGAAAGGCCTTGGCTTTATGTAAATCTCCCCAGTCACCCAAATGGTTTTACACTGAGGGCTCTGTTCAGAAATGGAAAATTTCTTAATGGATGAATGACTTACAGATTTAGCTGATTCTATCTAATGCTGTCATAATGGGACCCATTTAATAAATGTCCCCAGACAAATGGCCTGTAAAGTTAGGCTCGGGTATCTGTATTTTAAATATTAGACCAAAAATTTATTCACTGCAAAATGAACCATAAGAAATTGAGGTGGGCTGTTCAAATCCCAACCAGAACTCATCTTTCAGCACCTGCTTAAATTCCTTAGGCTTTTTCATCCTAGGGATTAATCTATGGAATGGGATGGCTAGTACTGTATTATGCCTCATTGTGGTTGATCTGAGGATTAAATGATACAGACAAAAAAGTCCTTAGGATCGTGCCTGGTACATAGTAGGGTTTCACTAAATGTTTGCTGCTATTGTTACTGTTATTTGCCAAGTTTTTACCCAGAACATTAAATAGATATGATTATTATGTAAACACACTACTATGATATATTTGCCCTCGATACTATATCACTTTCATTTTGATTCTACATAAAAGAATTCAATTATAGAAGAGCTGTGCATTAAAATATTTATTACTTAAAATAACTATATTCTGGGCACTGTTCTAAATAATTCCCTGTATTAACTCATTTTATTATTATAGCTACTATTATTATACTAATGAATGGCTACTATTCAGTAGCTACAATTATATTAATTTTACAGAAAAAAAATATCTCAAGACTCTAAGACATTAAATAATTTGTTCAAAATGCATTAGCTTGTGAGGGAAGGACTTAAGGATTACATCCAGATAGTCTAGCTCCATAGCCTCCTAACCAGTGTGTTTCTTGAAGTAGCTTTGTTGCTCTTGCTGTTCATGAAAATCAACAATCATGTTCTTTAAAAATGTTCTAATTTTAAAAACCTAATTTTTTAATGATCACAATTTTGTTGTATGGTTGCCCTGCAGAGATTCAGATATTATACCCTTGGTAAAAATTAAAAACAAATATTAGCCTGAAAAAATAAGATCAGTGAACCACACACATATTTGCTCAAATAACACAGTTCTTGTACATAGACCTAAGAAAACATGATGCCTTGATTCATGGATCTGCTTTCAAAATTAAGGTTTTCTTTTCAAATAATCTTGCAAAACTCACTTGGGGAAGGATGTTTGCAGCAAGACACAGTTCATCTTGGACATATTGAGAGAAAGCCTGAGTTCTTCTCTTGACTATGATCTAGGTCTAGGACAGGCTCTTCTGTGATACTGCATGCATCATTGCTAATCTATTTCAATAGTCCTATCTACTTGGACATTCTCTGTTTCATCCTGCGATGAAACAGTCTTAACCGACGTATGAATGGTATTGCTTGGGAGAGAATAAGGCACCAGGAGTTTCCAACTCTTGCTTTAAAACACCACTTGCTGAAGGAAGGTTGAAGATGTAAAAAGAAAAAAAAACTTGATCCTTCTCCCAGCTCTCTAACTGATGACACTTTTAATATGTGAAAATAATTTAAGAAGAAATATAATATTAGAAGTAGTTGGGTCATGATGTTCATATCAGCCCCTAATGATAGTATAATGATGTTTCTGTATATTTCAACATACATATTGAGTTGCTGCCAACATACACGAATAGATCAAGACTGTCTAAATATTTATGGCATGATCAATGGCTTAAATAAAAATACACTTAGCCCCGCTTCTCACAATACCATATGTGACTGTCATGACACTTACCATGTTGAAAACAGTATTTATGTGCCTGTTTCTCATTCCCTGGAAATCCACCGAGGGCAGAATACTTTGTGGTTTTGTTCATTTTTGTATCCTAAAGGTCCACATAGAATCCAGCTTATATCCTACTGAAGAGAAATTGTCCGAATGTATGTCCGAATGTATGCCTGAATGATTAAAGTTGGAATTAATTCAACAACCCTTCATTGAACACCTACTACGTGCTCTATATTGCAATAGGGGATACAAAGATGAATAAGTGGTTCTTTATCCCTTGAAGTGCTGACAGTCTAAGGAGAAGAAACTATAAATAATTATATTGTATGGTGGCAGCATGCTATGAAAGAGAGACCTAAGGGATGTTGTGGGATTACAGAGGCACTTGGAGTAACCGTGATGAGCAGTACTGGGAAGGTTTCAGCAGAGGCACTAAGATTCTTTAGGTGGAGATGGGAAGGGAAGTTGTGATAAATAAGGGAGTTTGGATGGTAGATAGAGTAACTGTAGACAAAATCTTAGACCATTGTGTCTTTGAGTAGCTAATTAGTTTCATATTGTTGGAATTTATTTTTAATTTATTTTTGGTAATGTTATGTTATAAATGTATTGGTGTCCTATTATTGATATATAGTATGAAATCATAATAGCTATAAACACAAGGTATCTATCTTTTATTGAATGACAATTTCACTTTAAATTTCAGTTCCAGTTACAGATGTTTGATATTGTTTGTTCCACATCCTGGGCCAATAAAGACAAATGCTGTGAACTACCAGGCCTGGTAAGAAATCTTCATTCATTATTGGGTCTGTTCTTCATTAAAATGTTCTAAAGTTATATTGAATTTTCTCTGAAAATGAAATGCTATTTTGCAAAATTCATATCAGAGATAATTTATTGTGATGATAAAGAAAATGAGAAAGATGTTAAGAGGGAGGCGTGTCTGAAATTAGCAAAACACACGGATATACTATATGTAGTGGATCTGCACAACCCCTGGGGTGCCATTTACATAGTCCAGATCTTCCCAGATTTTCTTGTTCATAAAATATTTAGTGTTGGAATACTTTATGGCATCACCAAACCAAAAGAAATATCTAACAGCTCCATTGCTGAAGTAATTAGGTCCAAACATCTTACTAAATGTTTATGTCCTAATAACTCAGTAGCCATATGAAAAAAATGATATACTTATTTTATTCTTAAGTAACTAAAATGACCTAATGGGATGTGTGTGCCTATTTGCACTCTACATTTGCCTGTATCTTGGGATCTGATGGGACATTTCCACCCTCACTTTGTTTTTCCATATTGATTTTTCTCATGGCACTTGCTACTCAATGAGCAAATGCTCAGATTTGCAAATACGTGACATCATCAAAACAGTATTTCAAAATCTATTGTTGAAACTATGAACTACTTTGAGCTGGTTGTTCATACAAAGTCCAATGGGTGTTTCTCTTGAGTTTAAAACATTTACATGCTCCTGTGACCTTGTCATGGTGCCCCAGGGCACCCTGGTACACAGTTTTGGAATTGCTCTTATAAGCTCTATAACCTATGTAATTGGTACAAGAAAAATCAAACTTTTTCTTATTAATAATACCATGTGTAATTCATAAGGGTATATCTGTATATATGAAGGCAGATTCATATCTTCAGATCCTTGGATCCTGAGCTGAAATGGATGACACCATCATGGTTGGACGTAGTCATGTCTTAATAGTTAAATGTGGAGAATGGACATGGAGAAGCCATCATAAAGTCTGAGCAATTTGCCTTCTTAAGATCTTACAGCAGATCACATCATCTATTGCAGGCAGTAAATTAATGCCAATTATGTTTGAGAAGGAAATAACTTACTCTTTCTTCAACAAAATAAGTTTCTAAGTAGTTCCTGGGGTAGATTTAAATCAGAGAAACTGTGATGTCATACATAAGTGCAGGTAGGGCAAATTGGAAGGGCAAATGCCACAAATCTGATGGTGTGTCAAGCAAAATGTGATCACCACAAAATTCTTCAAGAAAACAAATAAGACCTCCTATTTCAAAGCTTTAGGTTGATGCCATGATTTATTTTTTTCCCAAGCAGTAGTTAAAATTGTTACAGAGAATTAATGATGTTTTAATTTTAAAAATATATTTTTAAATTGATTTTAGAGAAGTAGAGGGAGAGAGACAGAAACATCAATGATGAGAGAATCATTGATTGGCTGCCTCCTAGATGCCTCGCAACTGGTCATGTGCCCTGACTGGGAATTAAACTGTGACCTCCTGGTTCATAGGTTGATGCTCAACCACTGTGCAATCCCAGCCCAGCTGATGATGTTTTTAAGCACTGTTTTTATTTTGTTTTGTTTGTTTTAGTATAGATGCAGTTATTTTGGTTGACTAGACCAGCAAGTTTTCTTTTATCCTTTGAAATGGGAAAAATGTTGTGACACAAAATTTGCAAGACCTTTAGTTCATAGAGTACTACTGCTCCAACTGAATTAAATAGTAAGGTGGTTTAGGGGCTATTTTTTATACACCCACTTCTGCCTTTCTTTCTTCCCCTGGATTCCCAAACAGGTTTTTAACATCCTTTAATAATGATGATTATCAATGACTCACAACACACCCATTCATTGTTCTTTAAAGAAAAGATTTTTGTGGTCAGGAGAAAATATTTCTGCCTTCTAGACTAATGCTCACTTTAAAGTGTCTTAAGTCAAAGTTTTTGTTAACAGTTATCCTATTTTTTTCTTCTCAGAGGGATGAGGGCCCAGACCT